ACACGCACACAAGGATAAAATGAAAATTTAAATTGGAGGAAAAACAAAGCAAAGCAAAGCACAGAACAGCACAAACAAAAGAAAAACAAAGCCATTAAAAAAATGTGTGAGAGACAGTTGATGTGTTGACCCATCACAGGAGCAAGAGGAGGAACCCACCTCAGAGGAGAGCCCGTTGCAGAGGAAGTTCACTCCAAGGGCAGCGCAACACAGAAGCCGCACTGCCTCCATCCCCAGCCGGGGGAAAGCAGGCTTCCCACAGAGTATTGGCCAGAGAGGAGAATGTACGGGCCTTGCTCAAGTCTTGGGTGGAGCCCAGCTGAAGAGGCCCCAGGCTTATCCCAGCCAGCCTTGGCCTCTTGCCCTCCAACAGTGGCCATCCCTGCTGCTGGCCTGGCTGGGCCCCGGTGTAGCCAGGGCACAACTTTAGATGTGCAGATTGCCACACAACTGAACTCGCTGGGGAGGCTCTGGCTCCAGTCATTGCCTCCTGCCCACACCTTCTTCGTCATGGATTGAGCAGGACTGTGGCACTGAGCTCTGGCCAGTCGCGTGCCACTGGACACAGCACGCCACTGAACGGTCTTGGACAGGTGCTTCAGGTTTGCGACAGGCGCATGGCCTCAGCCCACCCAAAGTCCCCACAGAAGCCCCCGGAGGGAGCTCGGCCTGCTTCCAGGGGGCCACCCGGCATGGAATTCAGCCCCCGACTGGCCTCAGCTGGAGGACGAGAAAGACAGGCGAAGGAAGTAGTTTTCTGACCATGGGCTAACTGCCCCTCCGATTCCGCATCCTCCAGGGGAATGAGCAAGAAGGCACACCAGTGTGCAGGGCTTGGGAGACACACTGAAAGACATGTACAGCAGGGCCTGGTTCATATGCTGGTTTTTCATGCAGATTCTGGGGTCATCTGTCCCTTTCCAACTGCTCCGGCACGGCATCTGCCGGTGCTTAGAAGGGCCTTGAGCTGACCCACAACAGACGTGCCGGGAGCCCCAGCGCGGGGTCTGCAGGCGCAGCAGGCGAGGTGCGGCTTGGTGGCCATGCAGCGCTCTATGACATTAATTAAGAGTGAATGATCAAGGTGTTCAGTGTATAAAGGCAACGACAGAAAATAGTGCATGTTTTATCAAAAGAGATGGCATACCAAAGTCAAGAGTCAAAAGCTTGAAGATTTGCCCCAGTTCAATATAAAAACTCATCAGAAGATTGGGCTTTATAATACTGTTATGGCTGTGGCAGATAGTTCTTTGTCCTGTGTTGCAGAACTAAAACACCTGAGCTTGTCTTTACATAAAAACACTTTTAAAACTGTGAACATGTATAATACCGCGAATGTACAAAATAATCTTTACAGACATCATGTCTATACAATCACCATCCTCACGGTGTGCTCCCTTCTCCCAAGAGGAATTGCTGGATGAACTGCTGAGCTTTCTGCTTCTCAGAAATGCCTGTCTTGGGATGGCCAGGAGGGGGACGCAGCAGTATGCCCCCAAATATACTAGCTGAGGAGGAAACATGGATTAGTATTTCTGATACTGAAAGGGGCCCCCAATTTCCCTGCTGGAAGTTTTCTCTTGGGGATTGGGGTTCTCCTGGGGCGGGAGGGCTACTCTCCTCCAGTTATATTTTTTGAGACAAGCTTCAATGCACCAAAGCAGTGATGCAGCTCACCTCCTCTCCGGGCAGAGACCTGCTGCATAAGCGGCACATCTACTGCTCAGCCTGTGGTGCATACCAGGGTGGTCATCGCACCACAAGGACCACCTCAAGCATATCCCGATCCTTTTGCCTTGCCTCAAGCCCAGATGGTACCACCCCTTACCGAGTGTTTTCACGTCCAAGAGGTTTTTCCCAGAATGCTGCAGCAGTTCCCGCAGAAAAGCTATTAGGTAGTGGAAGACATTCTTATGGCTCGAGGGAAGCATGGAGGCCACCTGGAAGGAGTGAGAGAGGGTGTCTGTAGCCAGAGAGTCACTAGGAGAGCAGGAGTGGGGAGGACATGCACTTCCTCCCCTGTGGGAGCACATGACCCAGTTCGGGGAGCCAGACTTCCTCCACAGCTGCCTTACCTGATGGCTCAGCACAAAGCTATCAGCACACTCCAAACTGTTGTCATACAGCTGGTAGCAGATGACTGGCTCAGGAAGGCTCTCCAAAAACAGGAGAAGGGCTTCAGCAACAGAATGATTGCTGGCAACTGGCCAGGGCAGTTAAAGAAAATGCATGGGCTGAAACGGACTGCCAGCTCCAGCCACATCCAGAAAATGTTGAGCCACCGAGAAAGCCCTGCGCTCATTCCGGATCACCAGCTAAGGTACCAGGACCAGACAGACCTCACTGTGGAGAGCATTCCATAACTGCAGGCCACCTCGAAGAAGGTCTTGTCACTTATTCTATCTTCCACAGTCCCCTTGGAGATGGCATTCAAAAGAAGGCCTCAGATACTGATATGGTGTCCAGATAGGTTCATGCTAGGAGAGAGACTCATTGATTGATTGATTGATTGATTGATTGATTGTCCAAAGCCATGGAAGGCTGCGTAGGTCAAAAGCAGCCCCTTGGAAATATGCAGGCAGGCAGTGAAAGTGGGCCAAAATTGATATACATCCCAAGAGCTTCTCATGCTTGTTATTAATGCCAGAATTGGTATATATCCCAAGACCTTCCCATTCCTGGCTGACACATTTTGCACAATGCAGCTTCAGGAGATTCTTCAAAGGCAGCCCCGAACAGCATGCAGTGCAGTAACCTAAAGGGTTTGCAAGAACACAGATTATGGGAACCCAGCCATCCCTGTCCAAACAGGAGTAGCTGGGTCCCCAGACAGCTGGCAGGAGGCACTTTGCCAATGAGGGGACCTGGCTTCATGTGACAAGCTTGGTTCAAAGGTGATGCCCATGTGCAGCCCCACTCAGACAGAAGAAACAGCCACTCACAGCAACTCGGCCTTGCTCAGCCTGGACCGGGGCTTTTTAGTCCTCATCCAGCCCGTGGTCATAGCCAAGCATCCGCAGCCCCACCTGAGGGCAACGGAGAGGCCGGGCCATGCTGTGCATCATCACTACTGAAGCACCACATAACCGCACACAGTGGTCTCCTGGAGATGCCGAATGGCCTGGGAGACACAGCCTGCCCCTGAGGAACCCCGCACTAGGGGATCGGCAGGGCTGAGTGATATCCCCCAGGGAGCGCCTTCTGGAGCCAACCATCCCATGCATCGCCAACGCTGCCTTGTTCTCCACTGACGCTGCTGCTTATAAAGGGAACTGTGAGCCCTCTGCCTCTCACAGAAGAAGGGGAGCTGCATGGCGTGGTCCACCCTACAGCGGCTGGCTGCTCTCACAGGCAGCAGGGCGGGAAGCGTCCCTTGTAGGGAGGCTCGGGGCATTCCACGAGGGAGGAAGGAGTGGCATCTTTCCAAAAAATACCAAAGAGCTGCATTCCTCCCAAAGGCTGCACGTAAAAGGATACCAAGTGTGTCCAGCATCCCTGAGTCTAGGCAGTCCCGAATCCGTTCAAACTCAGTCCTCAGGCCTGGCTGCTGAAAAAGGTCTTCCTGCAAACAGGGAAAGCAGCAGTGGAAAAGTGAGAGGCAAGGAGGAACACTGAGCTAAAGATGAGCGTTCTCCCCACCCTCCCTCCCACACGCGTCTGCATGGTCGTCCCTGAGGGGGGTGCTGAGGCAGGGGCAGCTTCATTGCCAGGAATTCTGAGCATTCAGTTTGCACCAACAGAAACTCTTTCTTGGCAAAACTGGCAGCGGTGGTTGCTGGGAGGAATCGCTGCTGAGGAGGGAAAGAGTAACACCCCTCCTTCCATGTGTGGTACCCACTCCAAGGCCACCTGCAGGAAACACGCTTCCTGCTGCCATGGAGTGCTTGCTGTAAGCCGCCCCGAGGCTTCGGCGAATGGGGCGGCATAAAAATGTTTTAATAAATAAATAAATAAATAAAATTTCCAAGGGGTTACAGTCGGAGAGGAGAGGCCAGGGCCCTGCTAAGGCACTGGGGCTTTTGGCTGCCCGACAATGTTCCTAGCTTGAAGGTGCATTTGCCATAATGTCTGCAAATGCTTAGCACCACAGCAGCTCCCACCACGTATAAGCTCTCTTCTACCGGGCTGCAGAGTTACTGAGAAAAGTGCCCCCCTTCTATGATTGGGCCAAGCAGAAGGTGTGGAGCACAGACCCAGATTACAAACACAGAGATGGACGGAGCAAATCAGACAGGGCCTCCTGGGCCATCTAGTCTGACCCCCGGCTCCAGACGTATCCCAACCTGCTGGCATGCATTGCGGTAGAGGTGATCTACCATCATGCACAGTTCCTTGGGAATGTCCAGTGGCTCTTCACCCCAGGAGACCTCCTCTTCTGGCCACAGTGGCATCAGGGTCTGCACGGAAGCAAGATGCTGCTTAATTGCAAGGCGGCAGCAGGCCTCCAGGGGCAGTGACCTTGCAGGCAGGACAACTCACCAGGTCTCTGATGGTTTCTGGTGGCATCTCTTGGATGGGCCCCCTCATGTACCTGAGTGCCTGAATGGGGGACCCAAAGCAGCTGGGCAGGTAGTTCCCTGATACTGACAAGAAGTAATCCTTGCCCCTGTCGAGATGCAGCACCAAGATGTCCTCCAGGGTGTCCTCTCCAGAGTTGAGGTTTGTTGCAGTTGCCTTATTCACAAACAGTTCCAGCTCAACGGTCACCTCAGCCTCTTCAGGGAGAAGACAAACATCAGCACAACGCCGCATTCCAGACCTCAGACTGTCCCATGAGGGTGGGGGGTGGGAGACGGTGGGACTCAGCACGGCCTGCCCCAGGCACAAGGGGAGCAATTGTCCAGCAGCCCCTGCCAAAATCTTCTGGGGCAGATGGGGTATCTCAGAGCAACTGAGTCTCGCCCACTTGTTCTCAACTGATGGGATCAACAGTGCTGAAGTCTCAGGGACCCAACGGGAGCCAAGGAGGTCCCACTGCTGTGCAGGCAAACACTGCTGGCCAGGGCCATAATGCAGATCGGCACCTGAACGGCCAGGACCCAGAACAGCTGGAAAGACCCAGCTGGGTCTAAGGATGAGGAAAATGGCTCAGGCAACTTTCCTAATTTATAGCTGGGGTGGGGAGGATTTCCTGTGCAGGCCAAATCGCTGCAGGCAGAAGATCATCCCTGCCCATCCTTCTGAAGCAGGGCCTTCCAAATTTGCAGGCCTAGCAGCTGAGCCAGTGAAAGAGCCCCCATCCCGAGGATGGTGCAGATTTCTGAAGCATGCAGCTGCCCTGCTGGAACCATCCTTCCACTTGACAAAGGAGGGATTCTAGACCAGGCCAACGATCTGCGTGAAAACAGGGCAAACTGACTTTTTGGAACGATGGGTGCATAAGCAGGAGAGGTGCCCATCTTGAGCCCTGCAGGCCAGCCCTGTCCCAGGCCCCGCGGCCAGTGGGAGCGGAGGAGGCACAGCTCAGCAGGGTGCTGGCAGCAGCAGAGGGCGGCCCAGTCACCTGGCAGCAGGAAGCCCTTGCTGGGGTGGGCTGTCAGCCATGGCTTGCAGTAGGAATCTTCATCTGGCTTATTGATGAGCTTGAACTGGCAGGGGACCGGCCCGTTGTGGATGGTGAAAGACTGTGCCCGAAGCTGCATGTACTTCACATCCTTGAACAGGAACTGCAGGGAAGGAGGAAAGGAAGGAAGGAAGACAGCGGCTCTCCTCTGCAGTCCATGCAGTCCTTTCCCGCAAGGAAACCGCCTGGCTACAAGCAGGTGCCGGGCCGAGCTTCCCCAGCTTGGCACTTGATAGGGGGTCCTTCTGGGTGGCCCCTCCCTGCAATGGCTGCCTGTGCGGCACTTGCAGGGGCTTGTCCTGCAGAGGGAGGCCCTGGCCTGCCAGCCTGCTCTTACCTCCCGCTTGGAGAGAGTGACAGACGGGATGCTGGCATTCTCCATCTTGTCCAGTGAGCGCACGATGTCCTCAAAGACGCGGCGGTAGAGCTGCTCCTCCACCACCTTCACCTGGGAGGCACAAGGGGCAGGCCTGGCACCGGAGGCCTCCCTGCTCCCCAGCCCCCACTGCACCAGCCTGCCCCTCACCCTGGGAGAGCTTGCCCAGGCTCTGAATGCCTGTGCAGCTCCTCCCTGGATGGCGGCTGGCACAGGGGCGTTTCAGCCAGAAGGGAGCCCTGCTGCAGCATGTGGCCGCCATCGAGCCCACGCAGGAAGGCTGTGGGACCCAGAGCCACCCTGCCTGCTTCCCACCTCGGGAGCTGTCCTGCCATACTGCCCAGGGCCTGGTGACTGGCTGTGAGAAACACGACCAAGGAATCAACCCCTGCCACTAAGGCACAGACACCAAAGCAAAGAAGTGTCACACGGGACTGGGACTGGGACCGAGTGGCGTGTGGAGAGGGAGCCGCACTGGTCCTTCCTGCAGCAGCTGGCCCACCTCAGAGGAGAGCAGGGGAGGGGGGAGGGCCCTCTGGCAGCTCCCCCGGCCCAGCGCAGCGGCATGACAGCCACCTACCCCAACCTCGAACACGGCACTGACTGGCTTGTGATCGCTGTTCCTCAGGGACATGTGGCTTCGGTAGCTCAACTGAGAGACGTTATTCCCTTTGAACAGGATCCGGTCACACCAGGCTGGGGTGCGGCACTTCTCGCTGCAAGGGAGGCAGGAAAGCAGAAGGCTGGCCATGGATGCCGTGCGGGTGGGCAGGGCCTCCACGCACCGCGAGTCCACGAGTGTCCCCACAGACGAGGCACAGCAAGGAGGCCTGTCTGGAGCCACTGGGCGCAGCGTTCGCCTCACCGGGGCTCCTGCATATGGAACCCGCCCCAGAGGCACGCATGCAAAGCCCTTGTGTGTCAGGCCCCGGGGGGGTGGCTGGGATGTTCTGGCATGGGGGCCGCGGAGTCACGGGAGCCCGCCGGTGCACTGGACGTACTGCAGCCCAGGCACGGGCCTCGCACCAACACTGCTCACGCCCATCCGTGCCCTGCCCCGCCCCGCCTGCCTGCCTCTTCCACTGAAGGCCTCCGCCAAGCCCCTTCCTCGCTGGACAGGAACCAGCAGCCGCAACACGGGCAGTGCTCCCGCCATGGGTGCCCCACTTCAGCACGCTCCCCTCGAGCAGACCCCCGGCGTCTGCACAGCTGTCTTTGCACTTCAGTCTGTATCGTCCCAGGGGCGCCCCGGCGTGCCGTGGCCACCTCCCATGGCACCCGCCGGCCTCCCGGTTCTCCTCCTACTCCCTGTGACCATTTCTGAGTGGGGACCTAGCATGCTGTGGGCGGAAGGGTGGCCCCTGGCAGCATCTCACTGGCGCTTCAGAGCTCAGATGCCACCTCTGGGCAGGTTGCTTCTAGGCTCGCCTGTCTGCCTCTTGAGAAATTAGGAGGCCTGAGAGAACGACTGTGTCCACCAGGGCAGGCGTTTTATGAGTGGGAAAGGGATCTGATTCCCAAAGCTGTGCACCCTCTGCGATCCCCACTCTATCGTCAGCATTGTTCTTTGCTGTCTTTGATTACGGTTATTCGTTACCGTGCACGCATTTGGTTAAACAGATTTTACACAGAGCCGTGGAAGAAGAAATACAAAAATATTTAAACAAATAAGGGTGCGATCTCATGCATGTTTACAGAGGGGAAAAAAAACTACAGGTGGTTGCAGGTCTCTTCTGTTTCCCCCGGCCACCGTTTCTGCTTTTGCGCGCTCCTGAGCTGTTGTGGGGCAGGAGGGGCAGAAGAGGAGGCCTCCCTGGAAGTCAGTTGCAGAAGCAGAGGGGGTGCACCTCAAGCCCCCTGCTGCTGCGGAGACCAGTGACCAGGCTGGATCCAGCCCGTGTTGGAGGGCTACAACCACATGGAGGGCTGTTCTGGGCACAGACGGAAGAGGGCAAGGTTGCCCTTGGCTAGGGCCTTCCCTTGTCTGCTTGGGCTGGATCTGTGGCCCTTGTCTGGGCTGAGGAAGGCAGGGGGGTTCCTACAGATGCTTTGGAGACGCTCCCAGGGCTGCCTCCTCAGCTTTGGTTCCTGCAGGGAACAGTCCCCTCCGGACCTGGGTGGAGGCCTGGCAGGCCCACACACGGCACATGTCCAGACAAAGACTCTTGCCAAAGGGAGCACAGCAAGAGCCTACCGGCAGCTGCCACACACGCAGGGCCAGCCCACCTGGTATCCCAGTCGTCTGAGCCCATGTTGTATTTGTAGGTCGGTGGGAAGGAAATCTCTCCCTCTGCAAAGCCTTGAAAGGCCCGCTTTGCCTCCATCTGGCTCTTCAGCTGGAACGGAAGTGAGCAGAGAGGAAGACGGATGGCAACATGCTTGAGCCTCCCATTTCCCCTAAGACTGTGGGGTTATATATCCCTCCACCACCTAAGAAGGGCCAGCAGGCTCCAGACTCCTGCTGAGCATGGCCTTTTTCCTTCCTGTGCCCTTCCAAAGGCCAGGCACGACCCCGAACCCTGTGCAATGGCAGAATTAAAAGAGTTATTGCAGCTCAAAGTTGCTTGCAAAACATTACTCATTTTCTCTCATGATGCATGTGTCAGCAATCCCAGGTTTTCATAAAAGCAACACAAATGGTGCAGTTATTTTGCTCCTAGCATCCCACTCCAAGACAGAGCATGTTTCAGTGGACCTTCCTCCAAAGCACACACGCTTGTGCTGGAACTGTGTGCACGCTGGCTGACATCAAGGAGGGAATGGATCAGCTAACCAACAGTCCTGCTTAAAAAGAAACACGACTGCATCCGCACACTCATACCTACGCTCCCTCCACACAAAAAAGCCTTTGTATGCCTGGCACTCTGGAGCAAATGTGCAAGTTTCCTCAGAAACAAGCCCCACTCCGTGCCTTCCCCACCTGCTTCTCCTCTCCAGAGACTTAGACAGAACCCTTCTGAGCGCAGCCTTTTACCAGAGCCCAGCCGGGCGCAAAGCCCGTGCAAATCAAACTCACATTCTCATGGAGAGCAGGGGCCCGATCCCAGTGGAAACATCCCCGCCTCCCCTGGAAGCTTCTGGCTCCTCCCAGGAGGAGGAGGAGGGCGAGGGGGAAGCACCTCCTGGCTGGGGCCAGGAACTCCCTCCCAATCTGCCCCCAGCTCAGAAACGTGTCCCTCCTTCCCCACATTTTTCTGCATTGTGCTCTTGATCAATTTGAATAACAGCACAGTTTTGTTTGAATACATTACGGTTGAAGTAAAGGACTTCAATGCATCACAGAGAAGTCCAGATGGGAACATGGGGGGGGGGCTCTCCCACCCCACACACTGCAGCACCACCTCCCTTTTCTCTGGTAATGTTGCTCTTGAGACTCGGTTCAGGACTTGGACCAATGCCTTGAGCACAACGTTGCTGAGATCCCCACGTAGCCATGGAGCTCCCATGGCGACCTTGGGTGTGCTTGCCTCACACTTCTTGCACACTTGCTGGAAAACTGAGGGTGGGCTGGGACCAGCCTGTGCACTGCCCAGCGCTGCTTGGAGGACGGGCTGGATGCAAAGGGGGTCCGTGCCCCAGGCCAACCGGGAGAACATCTCAGCTGCACCCAGGGGCGAGGAGGCGGAATCGCTCGGCATGATGCCCCTCCTGCCCTGCCTCCTCCCAGTCCAGGGGGCTTGTTTCCCTGGAAGTGAGCAAGGTGGTCTTATTTTCTGCACATGCTACTGAACACCCCACCAATCAAAAAATCGAGCAAGCTTCACCCAGGGTTAAGCCTGCCTGAAAAAGGAACCTTGCAGTTCTCACTTCCTGCCTCAGAAATGCTTGTCCCAGGAAGCCAGTGAGGGCGGGGAATGCCCCTCCCCCCTGCCCGCTGGGGGCCCACGCAGCTTCTCCCGGCCTGTCCTTGGCTGGGGCAGAACAGTCCTGCAGCTCAGCCCAGCGGCTCCAATACCCTTCCTGCAAAAAGTGAGCAGAAAGCAGGCTGCACAGACCCAACCTGGAGGGACACCTCACGCTCTTTTTGGGCAAGGGAGGAAGCTGGTTAGAGGAAGCAGACTGCTGCAGACCCTGCAACTGCTGAAACTCCCTCAGGAGGTGGCAGCCATTAGCTTCTGCACGGCTGCTGCAAGGAACCAGCCTGCAAAGAAGGAACAGGGAACTCGCTGCCACGCTCTTACCTGGTCGTGCTGATAAAGAGCGTGGAAGTCCCGAGCCTCAATCAGCTTCTTCACCAGCACCAGGTCCTTCTCCTCCAGCCTGTAGTTCAGGTCCCCCAGCCACAGGACAACACTGGAACAGAGCATGTGAATCCAAGGATGCGGGTTTCCCTGAAAAATCTGAACTGGGTTCGTTCAAATAGGGTTCTTTTGCCCTGGAAAATTTCTCGTTTGCAACACTCTTTAATGCTCTGATCTATCATGCTTACTGAATACAAGCAAAAGAAGCAAACTCATAAAAAACCCATATTGATTTTTGGCCACAATATGCCACCTATATTTGACCCGAAGGACAAAGTGAAGTACACTTGATGTGCTCTAAATACCATATTACCCAGACCATTTTACTGGGAAGCTTGTAAGAGTGCAAAGTCAACAGTCTGGACTTGCGTTGCACTAACCCCAGGCCAAGAAAGATGGAAGCAGCCCACACTGGTGCCCTGCCTTGGCCTTCCCCAGCCAGGTGCTCTCTGGGCACACTGGCTGCCACTCCAGGCGGCAGGGCAGGGGGTCCGCCCCACACTGCCCATTCTGGCTCCTGCAGTCCATGAGAGATCCCCCGGCCTGGAGGGTCCAGGGCTCCAGCCATGGCAGGCACAGCCCGGGCCGGCGCAGTGCGGTGAGGACACAGGCCCCCCCAGGGGCAGGGGAGCCCCTGTTGATGCCTGGTCACAGCCTGAGGAGAAGGGCCTGAACCAAGGTGGCTGTTGAAGGCGGCCACGGGCTGCAGCCACAGCAGCAACCATGGCAGGAGCTGCCTGGCCCTCCCCTCAGGCAGAGTCCCTGCGCAACGCACTTCCTCCATTGCCTGGCTGCCTCTGGGGTCCCACTTCCTGATCAGAGCCACCGCTGCAGCCGCCCCACTGCCCCTCCGCTCCTGCGGTCGCTCCTCAGCTGAAGCAGCCGCCACAAACACGGTGGGGGAACATGACCAGAAGTGGCCGCGGGAGCCGCTGCTTGCAAGAGCCAAATGAAAATGGATGGAGCGGATGGGGGTTGAGGCGGCACCGCCGGAAAGACAGGAGTGGGCCCCGCTCTCAGGCCCGCTGTAGGGAGCAGCCCCTTCCTGGGCTGCACAGCAAGGCCGGCCCGCCCCACTCACTCGTGCTTGCAGATGGTGAGGGGCGGCAGACTCGACTCCAGCGGGCGGAACTGCATCCGGGCACAGATGTCGTGGAAGTCCTGGTTGCGCCGCTCGTGCTCCTCTATGTGGGCAGCCAGGTGCGCATTCACCAGGCAGATGGTGGTGCTGTGGAGCCTGAAGCGGATGGCCACCCCTCCCTTGTTGCCCTGAGCCGGGGGAGAGAGGCCTTCTTTCCAAACCTGCCCACTCCATGGGTGGGGGGGGCAAGGGGTGGGGGGCAGGAGAGGCCCTTTGGGCATGGCTGAAGCAACCTATGCAGGTGTGAGGGGAGGCCAGGGCAGGCCCAGAGCATCATCTGTGCCCCCCACCGGCAAGGGGTCAGGCAAGGTGACTGCCAGGCGGCTCAGCAAGGGGGAGGGGAGCCCGAGCCTGCCCAGCCCCCTGCGGCAATCAGGGGGGCCAGGCTGCCCTGCCACACTCCGGGCCCCAGGTACCTCCTGGCAGGGGACACGCACCATCCTCCCCATGATGCCCGTGCCAACCGTCTCGGCCTCCACCTCGGCGACGTTCCCAGCCAGCTCGGTCCTCACATACAGGAGCAGCAGGATCCCGACAAGCCGGACAAGCTTTACCTGTGAAAGAGTGAAGGATGCTGGCTTGCCAGGCAAAGAGCGCTTGTTGCATGGGCAGCCAGCATGGCTTGGGGCCCAGGCCCGGGCCCAAGGCGGAAAGCCTGCCTGAGATGGGGCCATGTAACCTGCAGCCACCGGAAACACTTCCTCTTAGCACCCTGGCCAAGAACACCACATTTGAGGCAAGCTTGCAGTTTCTCAGTCTGCAGAGTCCTGTGGCAAAAGAAGTCCTCACTGCCTCCTGTCTCCGAACATGAAGGTGGAGGTGAAGCAGGAGGAAGGTGCCTGTGTCCTTCAGAGTCATGCCAGAAAGCCCCTCATCTAACCTGGAAGTGACAGGAAGCTCCTTTGCAGATCCAGCGAGAGAAACAGACTGGCCCCTGCTTTGGCCCCTATTACAAGCTCCCCTTGCCCCCGCACGCAGACACACCAGTTGAACCAGCCACAGGAAGAGGAAAGTCCTAGGTAGAGACAAGCGAGTGTGCCTGCGCATTGGCCCAGTTTACCTTGGCATACTTGGCCCCTGGATGGAGGCTTTCTGTCACAGCTCTAAACCACTCCTCTTCTTTGGATGTGTCATTGAAGAAAAAGGCCTCCTTGCTCAGGTCAAGCTCCTGAAAACTGCACCCATCAAGCAAGCATGAATCGGGGCCGCCGAAGGCACATTGCTCAGGGCAGGGGGCAAGCCACTCAGTCCACCTGGCGACGTGGGGAAAAGAAGCCACTGCCAGCCCAGCACAGTGTGGCAGCCACGTGGTCGCAGCCAGCCCAGGCCGGGCGTGTGCAAAAGTGCCCCGCCAGTGCCTGGCGGCCGAGCCTGCCCGCAGTGCGTGGGAGGCCCCTCCAGCGGCGGAGAGCAAGAGAGTCCGGCATACCCCACGCAGTAGACGTCGGGGGGCACCGGACCCTGGCTGAGCCAGGGGTGGAGGCTCTCTCTGGGCGACTGGCCGTTCACGTTGTATGTCCCAACGAAAAACCTGCCAGGAAACGGAGGCGTTGCTGCAGACCCTGTAAGCCCCCCCCCCCCCCCCAGTGTGAGGAGCTCCTCACCCTACTCCAGCGGGAGGCACGTGTGCTGGGCAGGAGCAGCCCCACTCCCATGCTCAGGCAGCCTGGGCTGGCCCACTCCCCGCCCTCACCAGCCCACTGGTACCTGAAGTTCTTCAGGTGTGTGTACAAGTCCTGCTTCTGCAGCAGCTGGGACCGGATGATGCTCTCCCTCAGCCCAGACATGTGAACGCACAGGCTCCGCGTCTTGTCCGGCACCAGCACACTCGAGGAGCAGGCCATCTCGCCAGTCCCCTCACTTCTGCGCTTACTTGGCCTGGACATGAAGGAGGTGGGGAGGCCACACACCCGTGGCGGGGCCTGGCTGGCCCAGCACAGAACAGGCCTGGCACACGCCCTGGCTGCTGGCCCTGGAGGCGAGGCTGCCCCCCGCCCCCCGTGGCCCAAGGGAGAGCAAGCAGAAGGGCCTGCCCTGCTGGAGGGGCTCCTGCCCCCTCTCGCAGAGGCTCCGTCCGGCGCCTGGCCACCCCAGCCTGCAGTGCCGGCCACTGCTGCCAGCCCGGTCTGGTCAGAGCGCCTGCCTCACGTGCTGCCAGCCCGGTCTGGTCAGAGCGCCTGCCTCACGTGCTGCCAGCCCGGTCTGGTCAGAGCGCCTGCCTCACGTGCTGCCACCCGGTCTCCGAGGCACACCGCCCGCCCAGGCACCTGCTGGGAGGGAGGCAGGGAGCCCGAAGGCCTCGGCCACCGCCAGCAGGCAGGGCGGTGGGAAATGGCGGCCGGAGCAATGCTCTTGCGACTGAGCTCGCGGGCTGAACAGGGAAGCTGTGGGGAAGCGCGAAACCAGCTTCACATGCAACAACACGCAGCACTGACGCTTGGGAACCTTAGAGTGGTTCCCAGTAACCGATCGTGCCGCATTTCACCACGCTTCTGGGGTTCAGACCCAACGGCAAGCCATGCCTGCCCACTAGCCATTCCGTGTGCATGCAGCCATATTCTCCACTCCTCCATGCCTTCATTTGCAGTGAATCCAGTGCAGCACAAACAGTACTGACGGGCTCCAAGAACCGGGGGGTGGGGCAGGAGGGAGGTTTTTTACTTTTGAGAAAGGCATCTACAAATTTTGCCAGGAAAGAGTGTGCTCTTATGTAGCCTGCATTTCTCTGGACTTATACAGGATCCTCCACCGCTGTGCTGGGGAGGGGGCCATCTGTTCCACCCAACCCTTACCTTTGGAAACAAGGACCAAAACCCGCCTGGAAAAAGAGGTTCTCTGCGCTGGAAAGCGAACCCACAATCCAGAAGCAAGCAAGTGCAGCTTGTTACTACTGAGGAAGCGAGACTCCTGCCCCAGGACATCGCCGGTGCCTGGGGCTGTGCCTACCTGGGCGAAGCAGCTGTGCCGGCCCCCCCTGCACTGTACTGCTGATTCATGGTTGGCACCGTCTCCCCTCTCTGCTCGACTCTGTCACTGCTGGCAGCTGCTGCAAGGGAAGGAAGCCCGTGAGAGCTGCTCCTTCCCTGCCAGGGCCTTGCAAGTCTCCGGCTCGCCATCTTGGCCTGCTCCATTCCTGAGGGGAGGGCCGCACGCGGCACCCGCAGAGCCCAGCCACAGCGGCTTGGTCAAGGAGCTCAGCGGATGCTGCCTTTTGGCATAGACACAAGAGCTGCGTGAGCAAATTGTCTCAGGGCTGCAGCAGAACTGCCCCTGGGGGACAGGGGACACGGAGGGCCGCCAAGGGCCACAACCCCCCCCCCCCCGGACTCATGCACAGACTGGTTCGGGCTGGCTCTGGCCGAGTTGCCCTTGTGCAGCCTCCAGAGCCAACCTGCAAGGCAGCCAGGGGGTAAATGTGGACACTGCCTTAGCCACATGGGTAACATGCCAGCTGAAGCCGGCAGCAAAGCGGCCAGATCCCACAACCCGCTATGGGGAACACAGCAGCTCGTCAGTCATCCCAACAAGCCACTCGCAACTGGTCCAGACAATGCAAGAAGCCACAATAGGGCAATATGCACCGTGTGAACCCTATCCAGGTGTGGAAGTTGCAGGAAAGCAGGTCTGACTACACATGGCGGTAACTCCTCACGGTCCAAGCTGTTCAGCAGCTGGCACAGGCTGCGGCCAGAGGTGGAGGCCCTCCTTCCCCAAAGATGCTACGCAGAGGCTTAAGGGACACCTGCCAGGGCTGCCCATGAGCAGGTGGCTGGAAGGCCCCTGTCAGGGCTGACGGCCATTCGCGTGTTCTTAGGGTGTGTTTGAAGTCAAGATGCAAAAGAACTGAAGGAAAACGACATGCATAATCATAGTCCAGCAGGACTTCCAATTTCTGTGGTCAAGATTTTGAAGTACGAATTGTTCAACTTTGAAATTTAATGTTGAGAGATCCGTTGAGAAACTTTAAGTGACTGTGCTGAATATCCACTTGGAAAACAATACTTTATACTTGATTGGATGCTTTCCCTCAAAAAACCCCACATGCAAATATTCTGTTATTTAGGCAAATTGGAAGACTTTTCTTTTGTAAGGATTTAAGTAAAGATTTTACAGGAAATTTCCACTCTGGCCTGGCCACCCCACCCCACCCCAGGCATCAGCTGAGCCTCTCTGGATGGTAGCAGCAGGTCCCTGCAGAGCGGGGGGGGGGGGGGACACGCAGCCTGCAGAAAAAGCAACACCACGGGCTTCGCAGCAGCCCCTTGCCCGCTTCGTTACTGTGACACTGCCGGGAGGGGCAAAGCGCACCCCCCGGAAGGCCAGACGCGCCCCCGCCCCGAGGAGGCGCACCTGCGCGGCCTCAGGCGTCATCCCCAAGGGGACCCCGGCTCTGGACCACAGCTCCCATCAGCCCCAGCCAAGAATTGGGCTCCACGAGCCGCAGCCGGGGAGCCCGCGCGGGGACGGAGGGCTGGGCAAACACGGCCGGCGGCGCCCGCTGCCCTCGCTCAGACGGGGCAGAAGCCCGCGCCGGGGCCGCGCCTCCCCCAAAGCGCCGCGGAAGACGAGGCCGCGAAGGCGCCCCCGGCCTCACGGGCAACGCCGCGGAGGCGACCGAGCGAGCGCCGCGGGCGCGGACGGGCACCTGCGCGGGTCGGCAGCGGCCCCCAGCCCCCCGTCCGAGGGCGAGCCTCCCGCCGGCAGCACGGCAACGCAGGGCGGGCGGCACACGGCCGGTCCTCGGCGCACCCCGCTTCCTACCTCCGCGGGTCCCCCGCGAGGCGCACCCCGCTCGCTCCGAGCCGGGCCGGCCGCCACCGGCCGCGCCTCGCCCGGCTTCCCCAGTTCTCAAGAGGCTCGCCCTCCGCAGGGCCCGCCCCTTCCCGGCGAACGCGCGGCGCTCCCCCCGCGCTGTGCCCGCGGCCCGGCCCGGCCCGGCCCGCAGACCCGCCAGGGCAGAGCGCGAGCCGGGCGTGCTGGGCGGAGGGCGCGGGGCAGAGCAGGCCCCGCCGGCAGAGCCGTCCCGCCCGGCTTCCGCAGAGGGAGACGCGAAGCCGGGCGCCTCCATCGGCTCCGCCGAAAGGCCGACGCGCTCCGTGCCCGGAGCGGCTTGCAGGGAGCCGCTCCTCCGAAGAGGGGCCGCTGCAGCACCGGCGCCTGGCCCTGCTCGTTCTGCTCTTCCCCCTCGCCGCCTCCTCTCTGGGACGTGTCGCGTTTGGCTGCGGAAGCCGGCCCGGCTTGGGATGGGGCTCTGCTGGCCCCTGCCTAGGCTGCTGCCAGAAGGCATCTCCTCCCCCTTTGCGTTACAAAAGGGGCCGATGCTTCCCGTCTTGCCCTCCCCCATGGAATAGGGGAAAGGGTGCCTGCTCGGGGTGGGGGGGACCCTAGTTACCACACGAAAGGGCCAAAGGCAGCAGTGGGCCCTGCAAGGCCCAGGCTGCGCTGCCCCTGACTTGCTTGTGTCACCCCCCTGCCCTCAGCATTTCAACCTTCCAGTGCTGGGCAACCTGAGCGCCCCCCCCCCCCAATGGGGCAGAAGTTGTGCCAGCACAGCGGTGGCCTGCCCATGGCCAGGGTGAGGGCTGCTCTGTTACTCTGCCAGCTAGCATGGAGCAGCCCATGGCCCAGCAAGGAGCGGCTTGGTGGGGGCCAGAGCCCAGCGTGGACACAGTAGGGAGAAGGGTGGAGCAGCTAAACGTGGATGGACGGTTCTGCTCCTTTGCTCCTTCAAAAAAGTGCAGAGGAAGCTTTCTGAGGCATGGCTGCCAGCTGGCTCGTGTCCCTGTCCAGAGGGGACAAGCAGCTTCTCTTCAGTGCCCCACTGGCAGCAGCGGCACCTGCACATCGGGCTGGGCGTGGGGTGAGAATGGATCCAGCACCAAAAGGAAATTCTTTTGATGTAAGCCAGTGATGAGCTGAAAGAACCGCCATTTCATCATTTTCTGCACAGGAGTTTGGGGAATTGTAACTGCGGGCTATTTGGCTGCCGGAGATCTTGTGTTGATTAGAAAAACTAATTGCCTGGACTGCCATAGCTCATGTTTGACTTTCTGTCTATCAGAACGACCTTAATCCACATGCACACACTCAAGACGAAAAGACAGTGTTGCCTAAAGTCGGCTGCCTCCCCAGGCTTTGTATCCTGCTCCATGCCATGAAGATAAAGGGGGAAATACTGAAGTGCCCACTTGCCCTGTGGAGGCAGCTCTGTCGAGGGCAAGTGCTGCGGCTGTGGCAGCTCCGGCCACCTCCCCCCCAGGAAAGCCCCCTCAAAGCGCTCCGTGGCCACAAAGGCAAGGAGGGGAGCCAGACCAAAGGGGGGCTCCACGCCCCGCCCCACCTTCGGGGCACAGCTCTTCCTCCTGCACTCGTTACACTTGTGAACTACCCAGAAAGCAAAGTTCTGCTCAAAGCATACTGCACACAACACAACTACAAAACACCCAGAGAAAATGCAAAGGACAGAAAATGAGCCAGGTAAAATAATCAGCAGCATATAATTAAACCCGAAGTAGAACCCACTGCATGGATGGGAGAATGCAAAGCTTAAAAGTGAAGGAAACGGAGAAAAATCCCCACCTGCAGGCGCATCCCTTTCAGGCTTAGCAATTCAGCCAGGGCACCTGCGAGCCAAGGTGGGTCGTGCTTTGACCTGGGGTTTCCACTCCTCTATGAAGGGGAACCCTATTTCCCAGTGCGACCAAGTAGTTGTGGGACTGAAATTGGTGGGGGACGGACCAATGTCAATTGAACTTCATGGGGGAAAGGTGGGATACAAATTTACAGAATACAGACATTAATTTACATATTAATTCACAGTTCCTATGCCCCAGTCTTCCTTCAAAGAAGGAATGAATAGCAGCTTATGAATATTACTGGCCCAAACACCAATAAAGCAATGAAGTCCTATTATAATAAAGCAACTAAGATGCCACAGTACTAATCAAAGCACAGAAGCAAAGAGGCCAGGGGCAAACACATGCAGAAGCAGAAAGCTTAAGACAGGCTAACTGGACCTTACCTGACAGGCACCTCTGTGAAGAGGAGCTGCCATTAAAGATGCTAACAATCACGCCCCCACCTCCCACCTGTTTTTGGGAAGGGGGCCAATGAACAAGGCATCGTTTGCAGAGAAGGGGCCCTGAATGGCTGGGACCACATTTTCCTGCCTGCTTGCAAATGCCCCCGAATGAAGTTGGGACAACGTTCTGCCCCGCTCCCGGCACAAACAAGGCTCAAAAGAGTGCAGGGAAAGGCCTGGGACCAGTATGGTCAGTGCCCCCTCCTGGCCTTGCTGGCCATGAGAAAGTCCACCACCGGGCATGCAGCCCTACCACAGGGCATGTCCCTCTCCTGAGACTCAGGGGGATTCGCATGATCAGTAACAGCCACAGGGCTCATGCAAACATGGCCCGGAGCCCCTTCTTCCTGGCAGCCAGCATCTGCAGCTCAGCTGCCACACCTCGAGGTTGATCTGTGCAGAATGGAACCCCAGCTGAGCCTCACAGCCTGGCCATCAGCAGCCACAGCTGGCCTCGTACCTGAGTGGAGGCATTTCCTGACCTCTTTCAGGAACATTTGTGTCTGTGAGCCAAAAGGCATCTGCACCAGCAAGTCGGTGTCACTTGAGATGATCCGAACAGTCACATCAGAGCCTGCGTACAGAAGACATACAAAGGGCGCAGCACTGGCACCAGAGACTGGCTTTGCCAGAAGGCTGTTCAGGCAGCGGCACTCCCTGTGAGCAAGACTGGGCCATGCGGAGCCACCAGAAAGCAAGTGGTCGTATTGTCTCCAGTCTTTCTTTTGTGCACTGCAGCAGAAATGCTGCTGTTGATGCATTTAGAAAACAGATATTCTCATAAAAATGGGCAAGGCAAAGGGCTGAACAGCAGCATGTGGTGAGGATCAGAGACAGCACAGCCTCTGTGCCTTATACACAACTGTGCATGCTTCAGTTCAAAAAGCAGCAAAATGCTTCTAGCTCTCATGGACAGCAGAGATCAGTTTAGAAGTGCATGTCTGGCAAGCTATCTGAATTCAGGGTGGCTACCTGGGGCTTCCAAGACTCATACACGGAGTACCTCAGTCCTCCTCCCTCAAGATTAGCAGAGTCAGGGTACACAAGGGCTAGCTTTGGCCTGCCTTCGGGCATAAAGCAGAGAACAGCAATGAGGATGAGAGGCCCCGTGCGTGCAGCTTGCTTCAGGTCTGGTCGTTTGCTTATTTGCCTGCTTATACCCTGAGCGCTCTTGTTGGACGTGCTGACAACCCCTCTCGTCAGGGGAGGCCAATCTGGACTCCAGGAGTGGGGCACTGTGGTTTTTAGGATCCACACTTGAGTAGGGAAAAGCTGCTTACCCAGAACAGGCATGTCACTCTCCAGCACAACTGCAGGGAGGAAAGGAGCAGGATTAGTGGCCCCAGCTGGCACGGAGCCAAGAGCCCCTTTGGCCACCAGCGATTACCCATGGGCAGGACCAGGAAACGTAAGCTGCGAAAGAAAGGCTCCCCTGCCTGACGCCGGTTCCGGCAGAGAGCTCAGCTCCCAAAGCTCTGGGGCGCCCCCCATCCTCTGCCGGGGGGAGGGCTGGGGAGGTGGCGAGGCCTGGGGCACTGGGCAGAATGCCCTGGAGCCAGAGCAGGGGGGAAGCACCAGGGGGGGCGCAGACCTTCTTCCACAGTGACTCCTTCGTGCACGAGCAGGACCCTGTCCAGGCACACGTCCTCTGCGCTGATGGCCATGCGCCGGTGGGTGTACAGGCAGATGCTGCAACGCAGAACAGAGACGAGGGTGCCCCCTCCCCGTTAGCACCCACACCCCTCCCCGGGCACTCTGCCTGCAGGAAGGATGCCCAGAGGCGGGGCTAGCAGACTCCCACCTTGCTTCCTGGACAACACGCGGCCGGGGGGCAAGCGCAGCAGTGGGCAGCGCCTGGGGACCCCTGCCAGAGGGCGGCCCACCTGATCCCTTCTCGGGCAGAGATGCACTGCCCCACGACGGCAACTCGAGGCGGGTGAGCCACGGGCGGCCCGGCCAGCCTCCCGCCACCCCGGCTGAGGCGGCCCGCAAAAGTGGCGCCCGGCAGAAGGCACCGGCAGCAGGGCAGAGGTGGCCCGGGGGCTGCGCTGCCTCGGCGCCTGCTCCGACCCGCCGGGCCAGCTCGAGGCGCGCTGCCCCGGCCCCTCCGGGGCCGCCTCCGGCGCGCCCCGCCCCGTGCCCGGAGGCCGCTCGCGGGCGCGGCGCGGCACTCACACGATCTTCCCGTGGCTCTCCACCAGGCCCAGGAGGCGGCTTCCCACGCTCTGCCCTCCCGCTTCCACGATCCCCTGCACCGCCTGCCGCGGGCAGTCAAGGAAGGCTCCGCGAAGCTGCCGCCCGCCCACGGCCCGGCCACGACGGCGACCCGAGCAGGCGCCGCCGCCTTGCCGCCCGCCCGCCCGCCCACCCGGCAGGGTGGCCGGCGCGCCCGCGGGCGGCCCGCCCCCTCTCCCGAGCGCCCTTCGCGAAGGATACGGCGAGGCAGGTCTCCCCCGCCGCGAGCGAGTCCTGGATGGCGACCGACTGGTCCATCGCGCCCGGGGCGGGACGCGGGCTTCCCTCGGGGCGCGCGACGCGCCGGCTTCCGGAGGGGCGCTCTGCCGGGACGGCCCAGCGACGGCGCTGATGCCGGCGGCGCTCGGAGGACGTGGCGGCCCACGGGGGGCCGACCGAGCCCGGGCAGGGAGCCTCGCTCCCCCCGCTGCCAGGGCGGGCGGGGCGGCTGACGCACGTCGGAGGAGCGCGCCGCCCACCGAGCCGCAGGCCCGCGGACGGCCCGGGAGCCCCAGGGGCGGCCGCCCCCTGCCGGCCGGAGCGGCGCGGTTGCCACGCGCTTCGCCCGCGTTCCGCCGCGGGGCGCCGTCGCCCCAGCTCTCCGGCCACCTGCAGCGCCGCCGGACGCCATCCATACGCCCGCTGGCCCGGCGCTGCAGTCCCGCAACGCCCGCTGGGGGTCGGCCTGCGCTCGCTGCCGCTCAGCTGCTCTCGTCCCCGCGGCGGCCGGAAAGGCCCCGCCTCATTTTGCGGCCACATTCGCCACCCCGAATGGAAGTTGGTCACCTCGCCAGACCGACTCCCCCCTCCCGAGGCCACGCGGGGAAATGACCCCCCGCCCGCACCCAGAATGCTTTTGCAGACCACCTCTGCCCCCATCGCAGAGTTTTCCTCCGGCAGGGGAGGAATTGTGCAAATAAAAGCCACGGGATCATCAAGCACCTGGGTGAACAGCTTTGCCACTTTTATTGGAGAGACTGTTTCATGCAGTGTGCCCCCCCCCCCCCCCCACGCAGGCACTGGCCTTTCCATGCAGGTGGAGGGTCAAGCAACCCCCCTCCCACCTTTGCTTTCCCTCCCCTCAAAGCTGCTGGCAGTGTCCAAGGAGAGAGAACAACCGACCGAGGCCCAAGCAGCGCTGAGAGTGTGACAGGACAAGGAAAGGGGAGGAGGGGGCGCTCCTGCCACGTGTGGACCAAGGCAGCCCCTTGCGCTGGTCCCGGTCTTGCCGTGTGGGGCTGGGAAGAGCAAGGGAAGAGCAGCCCAGCTCAGCTGCCTTCCTGGAATGGGAGCGCCCTTGCTGCGGGGCCAAGGCCAGGTTTAAATCTGCTAACTGCTCCCGGGCATCTGCTGCAGCCCAGAGAGAAGACCAGAGAGAATGCCATGGCACATGCACCATCCAGCAGCACGGGAGGACCAAACGGAGGTGGCGGCATCTTCTGGGCGCCTCCCTCTCCTATTGCGCAAGGAGCCAAGAGAGAGGAGAGGAACGGGGTGTGGGGGCTGTGCTCTTCTCTAGCTACTGCCAGAATCTCGCTACCAAGCGTGCGCTGCCTCCTTCAGTTGAGCCCTGTGGAGGAGAGGGCGTAACAGGTCAGGCCAATGACTGCTGCCCAGGCCAGGACTTGGGACGCGGGTGGTGCTAAAGGCACATGTGTGGCCCTGTTGAAGTGAACTTTCCCATCCAGTTTGAGGCAGCTGGTTTTGGGCACAGCCGGGCAGCACTCCTGATAGCAAGGAGCAGTGGATCTCGCAGCACAGGCTGGGCCAGCTGTTTTGCAGACTTTGCTGCAGCCTGCCACAAAGTGAGGTCCTGTTTTCTTCATCTGGAAGGAGAAAAGGAAGAGGTGCTCTGTGAGGCAGGAGCTGCAAGCAGCTTGGCACCTGTTGTTTTGGGCACGGGCACCCAGAGGGGTTGCTGTTTCAAGCAAAGGGTACGGAAATGACTTGCCCCACTCAAAGAGCAACAGAAAAATGGGGCTTCAGAGTGGAACTGGTGGTCCTTGCTCTCTTTTACAGCCTTTAAAAGAAAAGACCTATTTGGGATGTCCTGCCATCTGTTCAGCTTCCAGCACCCCTCACCCATTCTCACCTCAGAATGCGCACTCTCATGAGATGCACTTGCGTTGGTTCACAAGACTTGCTGACATCTCAAGCCGCATTGGTTTTGGAGGCTGCTGGGCGAGTTCAGCCCACAAAGGCTCCCTCCTCAAAGAGCCAACAGCCTTCTAAGGTTCTTTGATGCTCCAGAACAACCCTGCGACTCTTTAGCATCTGTCTGGTGGACAGTGGGGGCTTCACAGGGTGGATGGACCTGAGCTGAGGCTCTCACAAGTGGGACTCAGAAGGTGGCGGGGGTCAACCTGGAAAGGGTACCTCACAGAAATCATAGCCCACGATGCAGCTGATGGAGGGCTTCCGGCCTTGGTAGCATCCTTCTCCATGGCAGGTGAAACTTGAGCACACCTTCCCCTAGGAGGCAAAGGAGGCATCGGGTGGGCATTTTGTAGGCCAGCGCTGCAAATGGCCAGCCTGAGATTGGGAGGAGGAGGGCAGAATCAGAGAACACTGGTCTTGTCGCTGGAGAGTTATGGCATCTGGCTCCCCACCCCACAAGATGCTGCCCGCCAGAATGTGAAGCTGCACTTACGTTCTTGGGAGGTGTTCTGGTGGTGGTGGAGCGGGGCGTGGAGGGGGTGGTGGAAGGAAGTGGGGTGGTGGCAAGAGGCAGGTCACCTGGAACAGACAAGGCAGGAGAAGCACTTCACCAAAGCCTTCAATGGCCCCGAATGCAGCCGCCCATTCTCCCCCAGCAAGGCCCAGCGCCGGAGCCTGCGGAGGGGCGGTGGTGTGGCCGCTGGCTGCAGCAGCACTGCTCCAGTTGGAGGCCTCACCGTAGGCGCTGGCGTTGAGGCCCAGGCAGTCCGGCGCGCTGCAGCACTCCACGGTGCACGGGCCCGTGTCCAGAGCCTGGCCGTGGCGTGCTGTGCACATCTCGGTGGCGCTGCTGTTTCCACAGTCGTTGCTGCATCCCGCTGTGTAGCTGGTGCTGTTGAGCTGGGAAAGCTGCAGTGGTCACAGAGGTGTTAGCACAGCTGGTGCGTCACACACGGCTGCTGTGTTCTAATTCGGGGGGGGGCATTCCATTCCCCCACCCCCACTCCGAAGTCCAGACTGAGTTCAAGGATATGCCAAGACCCCTGTAGCCCTTGGCAGAGCTTGCCTACCTTACAGTATGAGGCATTGTGGCAGAACTCCACGCTGTTTCTGTGCACTTCCTCCTGGTAGCATCTTGCCCCGGAACACTGGAAGCTCTGGCAAGTGACCTGCAGTGAGGAAACAGCAAAACCTGCACGGCAAGAAATCTGGACTCCCCAAGCCCAGCATCCCTCACACTCCCTGCACCCTGCCCAGCCCCTCCCGGGCCGCCACCACGCCTGGGAGTGCCAGCATCCCCCTCTGCTGGCGGCCTCTGGCACGTGCCCTCACCTGCGCCTTCCTCCACCGGGATGTCAGTCTCCCAGACGCAGGCAGTTCTGCTTCCCACCCCAGCCAACCCTCCTGCTCATCCCACCCAAGAACTGCTTGACACCCAGGCCTTCCCTCCATGCTGGGGGTTGAGCTTCCTTACAGGCACCGTGCCTGTAGTGTTCCCTGAGGTGCTGGAAGAAAGAGGTGTTCCCAGGGTGGATCCAGGCTCTGGAAGAAAAGGGAAGGGGGAAGAAGGGAGCAGTCAGCAGCCCCCAGCAGCAGCAGCAGGCCCCCCAGCTTGCACTGGAGGAGCAGGGCTGCAGCTGTGCTGGGTGCTTCACAGGAGAGTGCAGAGGGGCAGGGGTGGGGTCCCTCTGAAGGAGGCCCATCCTCCCCAGCCTTCCTGCTGAGCCTTGCTTCCTCCCCTCACCTGCCCTCATCCCTTCATGTCTTCTGCCTCACCTGCGAAGGCACAAGAGCTCCAACTGATGATTTGCAGAACCACCCAGAGCAGGAGGCCTGTGGACAGACAGAGGCCAGGTATGCTTTAGGGTGCCTCTGGGAAAGAAATAGCCTGTCTCTGCCTGTGGAATTGGGAGGGGGGGGTGTCTGTCCAGGCCCCACCCAGCATGTCTGTAGTCAGTTACAACCACTTTTCCTTGGGCTTTCCACAGGCATTGGCAGGTAGATACTCAACTGGTGATGCTTCCTCCTGTACTCCTAGGATCTTCCGAGGGCGGCAACAGTGCTCGGATGCCTCCTGCAGCTCATACCAGGAGCCATTGTGCCAGAATGTCCCCGTCAGTCAGTGACCCCCAGGAGAGCCCCGGCTGTGTAGAAATCAAATCTCTTACCTCGAGCTGGGAAGAGCCAGGAGCTGGAAACTGTCATCCTGGACCAAGACTGCTTTCACCACTTGGACCTGCTGGGGGATGGATCATGCGTGCGTTCTCCAGATCCCTCTCCTCCCACTGTCCACAGCTTCACCACAAAGAGAAGATGGCACCAGAGGCAACACCCAGGCACCAGGCAGCGAGTAGAAGGGATCTGCCGCCAGGCAGACTCATCCCCGTGCGCCTTGCCCAGTCACTTCAGTGGGCGTGCCTTCGCTCGGAACGCGGCGCAGCCAGAGATCTGTCTGCACCCCAGCAGCAGAGGCAGTGGGGGCAGCCTCCAGCCTAGCCTGGCGCCCAGACAGTCCCCATGCAGCCTCCAGGCCCTCCTGGGGCGCTCCCCCGGTCTGTAGTCCAGGAAAACCGGTGGGGTTCACCCTGCCAGGGAGGGTGGGCGCTGTGCTGCTCCCATGGCTGGAGAGACTCGTGGGAGTGTGAGCGCGTGAAGGCTGGTGTGGGGCTGAGCGCCACTGGCTGGCCCACCTTGGCACAGCACTCTCCACTCCTCATGGGGAATGGCCCCGGAGGCCTAGTGGTGCTGGCAGGGGCAGCTCCTCCCTGTGCCATCTGTCCCCTTCTCCAAGGAGAGAAAGCAGGCAGGTCCGGGGCCCTGGCCACGCTCGCAGGCATCTCTCTGCCTGGCACCTCCAAGTGGCTCCCCCTCCCCGGGCAACGGCTAACGGACTGTCTCGCACCCTTGGGCTCTTGCAGACGGCCGACGCAAGATGGCGGAACCCGGTGGGCCTGGCTGGGCCAGAGCAGACCGCTGGACCGCCTGCCTCCCCGGATGAATCGATGGCTCCCCCCCAAGCCTGGAGGCAGATTCTGGGTTACACTCACGTCCCCAGGAAGGCTGGGCTTATAAGGCACACAGGCCAAGCACTCACCTCGCTATCTCAGGGCCTGGGCCACAAACCAGGAAAACCACTTCACCGACAGTGCTAGCCCTGCTACCCCACATTAGGCCGCTGCCAAAGCCAACCCCCAGGTGCAGCTTCCAAGCACCAAGCCCCCGGGGCCCTGAATCAGAAATCCCGCCCGGTCCCCACAGCACGTCTCTGCAGCCCCACTGGGTGCATGATGTGTGCAGAAAACAAGGCACCAGAAGTGAGATCGGAGGCTGCAGCGCTCACACGTTCTAGGCAGGAGGGGCAGACGGAATGGGGAAGACTAACATAAAAGAGAACTTTTGAGACCTTTGAATCAGTGACTGAGGGAGCTGGAATTCGCCAGCGTTGACGCCTACTGAATCTTACTTGTGAAAATCCATGAGGGAAATCCATGGGGGAATTCACATGGGCTCTCTGAGGGCAAGGCAGGTGCAATGATCCCAGGCCTGGCCAGGAAGCCAGGCAAGGAGTTACGTGGTCAGAGCGAGGGGAAGGGGCATGATTCTGGTCGTGGTCTAGATCAGCATGAGGAACAAATGTTGAGGCCTTTAGTAGGGAAGAAGATTCGTTGCCGAGCTGGGTTTTAACGGCACGAGTGCTGTTTATTTAGCTGTTTTGTTATTTTTAATTATGCTCTTAAAAATTCTCCACTCTGTGACTGCTAGCCACCTGGAGCACCATCTTTGGTGCAAGGTAGGATATAGAAAAGGACTTTGGCAGTGTGATTGTATGGAAAGGAAATAAATAACAAAAAGATCGCAGTCACCTAGGTGACCCTGCTTCAGTCCAGAGGGCTATAATTTTTGCAAAGTTATAGCAACTGCTGTCAGGAGCTGGTGGCTTGCAAGCTCGTAGTGTGTGGGCAGTGAACCTGGCACTGTGTGATACTGAACATCCAGCTATTTCCAGGCTCTTTCTCTGCCCAGGAGCTCCTCCAGGTCCCAGCTGGCTTTCCACAAGGTTTACCAAGTGGCCTCCGTGGAAATAAAGATCCTGAAGCAAAGGGCAAAGTAGCAGCAGCTGGAATCAACCAGATCTGTTGATTCAGATGGAATCAACCAGATCTGTTCTTCAGGTGATACCCAAATGACATCACATGCCCAGAGCCACAATGTTGATGGCTGTTTCCCACAGTCTTCCTTCATCTGGGGACTCAGAAAACAAAACAAAACATTTGCAGATCTGTCAGATTTTGGTCACAAGCTGACGAGTGGGCTGACTTTCATTATCCAATTAGTTATCCTTCACAACAGCTAATTTGCTTTGTATTCTATTTAGTATTGCAGACAATACTAAAATGGGGGCTGTGGCACAACTGTGGAGCAGGAACTCTGGATCCGGAAGGATCTGGACAGACTATGGAAGTGGGCAGGAGACAACAGGATGGCGTTCACTATGGATAAGTGCAAGGTCTTGCACTTGGGGCACAGGAATGGGTGTCATAAGTACAGGTTAGGGGACAAGTGGCTGGACAGCAGCGCTTGTGAAAGGGACCTCGGGGTGCAGGTTGGCTGCAGGCTGAACATGAGTCAGCAGTAGATCGAGAGAAGCATTACTGACAAGAGAGAGGCATTACTATAGGACTCTGGTGCGCCCAGAACTGGAATATTGTGTTCAGTTCTGGGCTCCAAATTACAGGAAGGATATAGGAGGGTTGGAATTGGTGCAGCTGGTTTGCAGGGAAAGCCATATGAGGGAACTGGGTCTTTTCCCCTGGAGAACAGGAAACTCCCAGGTGATCTGTTGGTGACATATAGGTATGTGAGGGGGTGTCATGTGGAGGTGGGTAGAGACCTGTTCTCCCCTGTGGAGGAGGGCAGAACACATTCCAATGGAGCAAAGCTCAGGGAACCAAGGTTCAATTTGGATGCCAGGGAGTATTTCCAGATACTTAGGACCCCGAGGGTGTGGAATGAGCTTCCCTGGGAGGTGGTTGAGGCCCCATCAGTGAGGGTGTTCAAGGATAGGCTAGACATGCACATGGCAGGCATGTCGTGAGCGGAGCTGGCTAGAGTTGGGGGTCAGACTAGATGACCTGGGAGGCTCCTTCTGACTCACTGTTTCTATTTGCACCCCTCCACCCCTCCATAGAATTACAGAATAGTAGAGGTTGAAGGGGCCCTGAAGGCCATCTGTTCCAATGCCCTGCTGTTGCAGGACACCATGTCACACCATCCCACTCAGATGGCTGTCCAGTTTCGCCTTGAATGTCTCCAGTGTGGGAGAGCCCACCACCTCTCCGGGCAGCTGGTTCCACTGCTGTGTTATTCTGACAGTGAGGAAGCTTTTCCTGGTGTCCAGCCTGAATCTGGGTTGCCGCAATTTGAGATGATTATTCTGTGTCCTAAATTCTCGTATCAGCAAGAAGAGATCTTGACCGTCCTCTTTGTGACAGCCTTTGAGGTACCTATAGAGGGATATCAAGTCCCCCCTCAGTCTTCTCTTCTCAAGGCTGAACATGCCCAGTTCTCCTAGTCTCTCTTCCTAGGGCAGGGTTTCCAAACTCTGGATCATTTTGTTGCCCTCCTCTGGACCCTTTCTAATTTTTCTGCATCACCTTCCTTAAATCTTGGTGCCCAGAACTGGACACAGTATTCCAGGTGAGGTCGGACTAGTGAGGAGTATAGGGGAACTGCTACTTCTTGTGATTTGAAATACTTCTGTTAGTGCATCCCAAAATACGTAGCATTTGCCCCTTTGGCGGCTGCATCGCATTGTTGGCGCATGTTTAGCCTATTGTCTAAAATTACTCCGAGTTCTTTTTCTTTTCCATTTCTTTTGAGCCAAATATTCCCCATCTTGTATTGATGCATTTGGTTTCTCTTTCTTAGGTGGAGGACTTGGCACTTGTCCGTATTGAATCTCATTTGGTTGCTTTCAGCCCAGTGTTCATCAAAAGTGCCCTGGATCTTCATTCTCTCTTCTAGGGTGTTTGCTATTCCACCCAGTTTTGTATCATCTGCAAATGTGATTCTCTTTCCTTGTACTTCCTCTTCTAAAGCATTAATGAAGATATTGAAGAGCACTGGGCCCAGGACTGAATGCTGCAGCACCCACTAGTTACCAGCATCCAATTTGAGAAGGTGCCATTGATGAGCACTCTTTGTGTCTGATTAAGCAGCCAATTTTGGAGCCACCTAATAGTTTTTCCATCTTGTCCAGTTTTTGCTAATTTTCTTACTGGAATGTCATGTGGCACTATGTCAAAAGCTTTGCTAAAGTCTAGGTAGATCATGTCCATAGTGTTCTCTTTGTCCTTCTGGGAGGTTACCCCATCAAAAAATGTGATTAAATTAATTTTGGCAGGATTTATTTTTGATAAATGCATGCTGCCTTCTATTAATCACTCCATTTCCTTCAAGATGCTTGCAGATAGATTTTTAAATAATTTGCTCCAGAATTTTTCCAGGGATTGATGACAGACTAACTGGTCTGTAGTTCCCAGGTTCATCCTTTCCCCCCTTTTTGAAGATAGGGACATTATCAAAGATAATAGCCAGTGGCTTTGAGAGTTCCTCCACTAGCTCTTTTATGACACTGAGATGGAGTTCATCAGGTCCTGGAGATTTGGAAGTGTTTATTCCATCTAGGTATTTCTTGACCGTTTGTCACACTTCCAGCTTGAACTTCCTCTTGATTGCAATTTCCTTGTGGGAGAAGACTGAGGCGAAGTAGGAATTGAGTGCCTCTTCCTTGTCATCTGTTATCACTCTGCCATCCACTTTTAAGTAGCTGGACACCCTCCTCCTTCTCATGTCTTCTGTTCTGGAATTATCTGAAGGATTCCTTGTTGTGCTTAGCATCTCTTGCTATTTTCAGCTCATTTCCTGCTTAGCCTTCCTGATGCTATTCCTGCAATTCCTTGCTATTTATATTCTTCTTTCGTGGCCTGGCCCTGCTTCCACTTCCTGTCCATGTTTTTTTCTTTCAGGCCGTTTCTTAACTTTTTGTGGAGCCACGCGGGCTTCCTCTGCTGTCTTCTACACTTTTTTCTTGATGGAATTGTTTGTAGTTTTGCTTGGAGAATCTTTTTCCAGATTTCCCACCCCTCTTGGTCTCTCTTTAAGGGTGTGCTGCCATGGCACCTCGCCTATCATTTTTGTGAGTTGGTTAAAGTCGGCTTTCTTGAAGTCCAGGATGCATGTTTGGCTCCAGTCACCCTCTGTCTCCTTTATAAACGAGAACTCAAGTATCGCATGGTCGCTTCCCCCCAGTGTTCCCATGGTTGCTATTTTCTCCACCAGGTCATCCCTGCTCGTTAGTATTAAACAGAGGGCAGCTGATCCTCTCGTACCTTCCTCTACTTTCAGCTGGAGAAAGATGTTGGCAACACATGTCAGGAATCTCTTGGAGGGGCTGTGCTTGGCAGAATTTGTCTCCCATGACTGGCCTTGTTGGATTAGATCATGCTCTGAGAGCAATGAATAGGCATTTTCAAGTAGCAGTGATATTATCTTCCAGGAGGGATGAAAGGCCCTCCAGTCTGGGAAATCTTGCAAGGTATTCTTGTTAACATGAGTTGCTAGAGCAATTCTTTTCATTATTTTGTTTCAAAGGCCACCAAGGACTAACAGAAGGAAACAAATTTAACTATCAAATTAATTCCCCATTTCAAATCACCAAGAGCAGTTACAGAAAATAGTGCTAATCAAAGCAGTAATACAAAAAATACCAGCGTGGGCACCACTCAGGCCTCCCGGGGAGAGTGTTCCTTGACGGGGGTTGTCCAAACTGGGTAAGAGAAAAATCTGCATCCAAATGACACAGAGAGCACTTTCGATGCCAAAATGGGGACCTGTCAGAGTAAAGAAAAGGCAGGTGCAAGCAGAACCGATCCCTGGCCACAAACTGTGGCAATCTATTCTGTTATCTGTTTTTCTAATCAGTCAAAACATTATTCTCGGTGACTCACCCTCACATGCAGCTAAAATATTATTGTTTTTGACTGCAGTTTCCAGCTGAAGAACCAGAGAAGGCCTTGCTTCATGTCACTACCTGCTTATCCTCAGGTGGCAGGGTCAGTTGGAGGAGGACTTCTGAGGACATTGTGTGTGGAAGAATGCACTTCTTCTGGTATCAAGAATGCAAACTATACAGGACTTTCTTGCAAGTTTCATAACATTAAGTTATGCTTAGAAGCAGACCGACAACCATTTAAAGTTAGAAACTTAGAAACAGAGAGAGTCAGAAGGGGCCTCCCGGGCCATCTAGTCTGACCTCCGGCTCCACTCAGGACATGCCCGCCATGTGCATGTCCAGCCTATCTTTGAACACCCACACCGATGGGGCCTCAACCACCTCCCGTGGAAGTCCATTCCACACCCTCGGGGTCCTGACTGTCAGGAAGTGCTTCCTGGCATGTAAATGGAACCTGGGTTCCCTGAGCTTTGCTCCGTTGCAGCACGTCCTGCCTTCCTCTGCAGGGAGAACAGTCTCTACCCACCTCCATGTGACACCCCCTCACATACCTGTATGTCGCCAACAGATCCCCTCAGAGTCTCCTCTTCTCCAGGCTGAAGAGACCCAGTTTCCTCAGTCTCGCCTCATCCGGCATCCCCTGCAAACCGGCCACCAACCTTGTGGCCCTACGCTGCACTGACTCTAACCTGGCTATATCCTTCCTGTGATGAGGGGCCCAAAACTGAGCACAATACTCCAGTTGCGGGCGCACCAGAGTCGTATAGAGTGGTAGTAACACCTCTCTTGATCTAGTTGCTTCGGAACTAGTTATATTTCTACCAACTAAAGATGGTGCACCAGGCATTTGCTAGTTAAGCTGTTCCTTAAATCATCTGGCTGCTTTGGACCTGGTTGCCAGAGCAGATCAACCCAGAGAATTTCCAGTCCTCGAAGACACTTACCCCAACCCTTTAAAGTCTATGAATTAAATTGCTCTTTCAGAAACTGGAGGTGGGCCAAGAATCACACACTAGAAGAAAGCTCACATAGGAATATTCAAAATCTAGGAAGGTTGCTGGCTCCTTTCCAGGGTCCCCAAGAGACTGGTGACTGCCATGGAGACTGGAAAATGACAAGCCCAAGGGCCCCATGCTGTTTGCTCCTCGCACACGCAGTTGGCCCGGCAACGGTATGTTTGGCTGAGCCTCAGAGGGGAAATGGGGGAGCCAGAAACAGCCATCAAGGACAGCAGCGTAACCACTACCATTTCGCACCAACCACTGTTCCACTGTCAACAAAACCTCAGCTGGATCTGCTGCTGCTCAGTATTAATCTCTAAATTCTCTCACAGCAGCCACTCTCAAACTTCAGGAGAGGCTGGGCCCCCTGGCTGACGAGAGGCATCAAATGCTTTCCTGGCTCATCCAGACTTGCGCCCTAAAGATGCTGGCCAAAACTGGGCAGGAGAGAAGGCTGCATCCAAATTATGACACAGCCAGCACACTCTTCACTAAAATGAAGGCCTGTCAGAGTAAAGAAAAGGGTGGCACAAAAGAGCAGTGGTAGTCTGCTCCTTTGTCTGTTTCTTTATTAGAAAAAACACCCTCAGACATGCAGATAAAATGTGTTTTGAACTGAGGTTATCAGCCAAAGAACCAGAGACTGAACCTCCAGACCTCTCCTACAATCCCCAGTTGTTCAGGATCTCATCCTACGGAAGATGCCATTTGAGAAATGGCTTTTGCCTCAGCTACAGACAGAGTTTCTTGCCAGGACTTCAGCTTCAACATTTAGCCTAGCAGCCCTTCTATAGCAAGCAGGTCTTCCTCACCAAAATGCACCCCACTCTGTTCCCTAAAGGAACCCAGTATCTGTGGTCACGTACCTTGC